TCCATTTGTCAACATGAATAATACTTATTTACTGTAATTTTTATTTGATTGTTTGTCATGGGAGGTAATAATTTATCTTGTAAGGTATGTATCATAAAGTGATGTTTTAAATTGTATTTACTCCTTAATTTACAGATATAAGTGCATTTTAAGCATGCAATCAAGTCATAGTTACATATTGCTGCCTATAATGGTATTCTTCCTTCACTTAGAATATTTCTAGCAAACTGTATACATATTAAAACCTTCGAAAGAATCTGAGCCAAATTCTGGCCAGAAACCAAAGGCCAATAAAAGATTAGAGAGAAAAAAAAAGTTTCACAAAGTTTTGAATCAGAATGTCTTCATTTGGTATGTGCAAGATACCAAGGGGTTTTGGTGGTACTCAATTTGTAAAGGTGCAGGAAAAGCAATGTGTATGCACCTGGACATGAAAATTGGCTCTAGATGGTATCTTAAATAAAGATTTGAGATAAGATTCATTTACCATAATTATTTGCAAATAAATTTTAAGTTGCCTCCTGTAGTAAATTCTTAATACAGAATATACCTCATGATAGCAAATATCCCATGTTAATCACTTATTAAAGTTTTAGCTTTTATTTACAAAGGGTAATTACCAGGTAAACATCCTTATAACTCGAACAACCACACTATGATACATTATACATTATTTCTTTTTATTATGATAATTAAAACCAGATTATTCTGTTTGGACTTAAACTTGCTAACAACTATGAGAGAAGGTAGTTAATGCATGTGGGATAACATGTTATCATATTTGAATGAGAATGAATTAAAATTGTGAAATTTAATGAGTGGAAAAATAACACAAGTTCTTACTTTGTAAAATACAGTAACATATTGGCTACCATACATTACATATATATATATATATATAACTAATGTTTTCAAATATATACTTAAATGTCAGTTGTTTTTCTTCAAACATAAAACAGTAAATAAGAAATATTTGGAAAGCGATGATTTCTACTACTTATGATGCTATGAAGTCCTTTTTTGCACTTTTGAGCCATATTTGCTAAACCTTGTCCAAATTCACATA